ATGTCAAATAGCTACATAGTAAAGCTGAGCTATTTGCTCTTGAACTCAGTTGTCTTTTTGTTCATATGGCCCTTCCTTTGCTTTAAGACACAATTCACATCCTACTTCTTCTACAGTCTTTCTTTTCTACCTTCTCTTCTAGACCATATACTACTTAACACACCTTCTTCTACCTCTTCCTCTACTTCTTCCTCTTCCTCTTCTCCTCTTCCTTCTCCTTCTCCTCTTCCTCTTCTTCTTTTTTCTTTTGGTCAGTCCTGAGGTTTGAACTCTGGGCCTGGGCACTGTCCCTCAGCTCTTCAGCTCAAGGCTAGCACTCTACCACTTGAGCCACAGCACCACTTCTGGTTTTCTGGTGGTATATTGGAGATAAGTGTCTCATGGAGGTTCCTGCCCCGGCTGGCTTTGAACCACGATCCTCAGATCTCAGCCTCCGGAGTAGTTTGGATTACCGGTATGAGCCATCAGTGCCTGGCTCCTCCTCTTCCTCCACTTCCTCCTCCTCTTCCTCCCCCTCTTCTTCCTCCCCCTCCTCCCCCTCCTCTTCTTTTTCTTCTGCCTCCTCCTCTTCCTCCTCCTCCTCCTTCTTCTGCCAGCACCTCCTCCTCCTCCTCCTCCTCTTCTTCTGCCACCTCCTCCTCCTCTTTCTGTCATGGGTCTTGGACTCAGGACCTGGGTGCTGTCCCTGAGCCTCTTTTGCTCAAGTCTAACACTCTACCACTTGAGCCACAATGCCATTTCCGGTTTTCTGGTGGTTATTGGAGATAAGAGTCTCATGGGGACTTTTCTGCCCAGGATGGCTTTGAACAACAATCCTCAGATCTCAACCTCCTGAGTAGCTAGGATTATAGGAGTGAGCCACCAGCACCCGGGCTCTTATTATTTATCTTACTGTGTCCTTATTTCTTCCATCCCACCCCATCTTTGTGTATTCACAGCAGTTAGCAGACAGTCCCAACTCTAGTGGACTCATAGTAAATGACTGAGATGCCGGAAGACCTCTTGCCAATTTGTGACTCTAGTCATCCTCTGAAGCAGGAAGGGACTCTTCTGATGGATATCAATGAGTCCTGGCTTCATTGTACTTCCCATACCAGAGAGAAATGGCCACATTGCTTAGGAGCACACCTTTAATAGGCCAGGATCTCATTGTCCTTCTTCACAATCAATAGACAGTAAAAACTCAAATGGGGGGTGGGGGTTGGGAAGGTGGCTCAGTGGTAGAGCACTTGCTTTGCATGCATGAAGCCCTAGGTTCGATCCTCAGCACCACATAAACAGAAAAAAAGAAGCCGGAAGTTGTGCTGTGGCTCAAGTAGTAGTGCACTAGCCTTGAACTGAAGAGCTCAGGGACAGTGCCCAGGCCCAGAGTTCAGACCCCATGACCGACAAAAACAAAACAAAACAATCCTCAAATAGGGGATTTGACTTTCATCACAGCCAGGAAAAAGACATGCAGTTCAGCCCCTAACCTGATGGTTTTTCCTTTTTCAGTCTGAGAAGCAGACCATCAAACAAGCTGTTGACCTTTCACCCTGGAATTGCCATGGCTAACCCATACAGCTCTTGGGCCTCAGTTGAAAGCTCTTTATAGAGTATTGTTCTAGTAATGATAAGTCCAGCAGCTCCTTACACTGTTCCAGTCTCAGTCCTAGGGGAAAAGTGGCTTCTTGCTTGTGAATGTCTTCCTTATGTTTCCCCATAGCACACTTCTTTTTTTGTTGTTGTTGTTGTTGCCAGTCATGGGGCTTGAACTCTGGGCCTGGGCATTGTCCCTCGGCTCTTCAGCTCAAGGCTAGCACTCTACCACTTGAGCCACAGCACCACTTCTGGCTTTTTTCTGCTTATGTGGTGCTAAGGAATCGAACCCAGGGCCTCATGCATGTAAGGCAAGCACTCTACCACTGAGCCACCTTCCCAGCCCCGCCATAGCACACTTCTGTGTAAGCCATTTCAATTCTCTAGTCCAAGGTCTCTGTAGTCCTTTTTTTTTTTTTTTCTTTTTTTTAGGTGCCAGTCCTGGGGCTTGAACTCAGCATCTGGATGCTGTCCCTGAGCATCTTTTGCTCAAAACTAGTGCCCAGAGCTCCACTTCTGGCTTTTTAGGGGTAGTTTATTGAAGAAAAGAGTTGCACAAACTTTTCTGCTCTGGCTGGCTTTGAACCTCGATCCTCAGATATCAGCCTTCTGAGGAGCTAGATTACAGGCATGAGCTGCCAATGCCCAGCTTTCCCATAGTCTTTACTATCTTTGGGAGGGGCCCATAGGCTGTGGCTGGAAGAGCCAGTTTAGGTTCTACATGTAACTATCACACAACAATCTGTCCCTCCAACACTTCAGCTTCTGTGTAGTGCTTTTTAAGATTAGATGGTCTGATATTGGATGGTCTTACTGGCAGCATGTCCAATTAATATTGCTGAATGGGTGGCTTGGGTGCCTTTTTTCTTTTGCCAGTCCTGGGGCTTGAACTCAGGGTCTAGGCTCTGTCCCTAGGCCTCTTTTTTGCTCAAGACTAACACTCTACCACTTGAGCCACAGCACCACTTCCAGCTTTTTCTGTGTATGGTACTGAGGAATCACCAGGGCTTCCTGTATGCTAGGCAAGCACTCACCACCGAGCCACCTTCCTCGCCCTGCTTTGGTGCCTTCTGCATTATAGTATTAAGTAGGTAATAACAGGTCACTGCCTGTTTATAGAGAAAGCTTATTTTATAAAGCTTGAAAACCATGTGTTAGGGGCTGGGAAGGTGGCTCAGTGGTAGAGCGCTTGCCTTGCATGCCTGAGGCCCTAGGTTCGACTCCTCAGCACCACATAAGCAAAAAAGAAAAAAGCCGGAAGTGGCGCTGTGGCACAAATGGTAGAGTATTAGCCTTGAGCTGAAGAGCTGAGGGACAGTGCCTAGGCCCAGAGTTCAGGCCCCACGACCAGACCCCCCCCCCCAAAAAAAAAAAAAAAGGAAAAGAAAACCATGTGCTATGTTAATAGTCAAACTTTAGGTAAGTAGAGGATGGGAATCTTCTAACATGCTGCTTAAGGTTGGGTGATCATTTTTTTGTCTTTCTTAGGCTGACATTTTGGATGTCAATCAGATATTTAAAGATTTGGCCATGATGGTCCATGACCAAGGTGATCTGATTGGTAAGTATTACTGATCTCTTTAACCTCAAGGTGAATGATAGTATTTGTGTGCAAAAATGTTAGCAGCACATCTGCTATAGACATCAAATTTAGAAGTGTCATTTAAAAATATTAAATTCATTTGTGTGTGTATGTATGTGCACGTGCGCATGTGTACATGCGCTGGTATTCGGGCTTAAACTCGAGACCTCAAGCTTTCATTTGTCTTTTTTGCTCAGTGCTGAAGCTTTACCCCTTGAGCCATAACTCCACTTCTGGAGATGAGAGTTTTGTGGGTTTGTTTGCTAGGCTGGCTTCAAACCTTGATCCTCTGTTATCTCCTCTCGTGTAGCTAGGATTACAGGCGTGAGCACCTGGCCAAATTCATTTTCTTAACCATTTTCTGGTACGTCAATGCAGAAGTTAAAGTGGCCTCTGTATATACTCAGCCCCATTCACTTGGTAAGTGTTTGTTTAGAAAAAGAGCTATCATGGGCTAGGAAGGTGGCTCAGTGGTAGAGCGCTTGCCTTGCATGCATGAGGCCCTGGGTTTGATTCCTCGGCATCACATAAGCAGAAAAGGCCAGAAGTGGTGCTGTGGCTCAATTGGTAGAGCACTAGCCTTGAGCTGAGGGACAGTGTCCAGGCCCAGAGTTCAGGCCTCAGGACCGACCAAAAGAAAAAAAAGAAATAGCTATCAGCTTCTGTGTGTGTGTGTGTGTCATAGCTCCACTTCCAGCTTTTTGTTGGTGAATTGGAGATAAGAGTGTCACAGACTTTCCTATCCCAGCTGCCTTTGAACTGTGATCCTTAGATCTCAGTCTCCTGAATAGGATTACAGGTGTGAGCCATCAGCGCTTGGCTAACTTTTAAAAAGCTTTTTATGTTAAAATAATTTCATTTATAAGGCGTTGCAAAAATAATACTACTAGAAACTCCCTTATACTCTTCTCTAGAATTGGCCTTGTTTCCTTTCTGCCCTGTTTACTCTGTGATGAAACTTCCATTCTATGTGTGTATACATGTATGTACATAAATATTTTTATCTGGTCCATTTATAGGTGGATTATGTGCTACGCTGTCCCTTGCCCCTAAATGCCTAAATTTTTATCTCTATAGAATAGTGCTGTTCTCTTACCAAGGTAGTGTCTTTTGGTTTCATGGACAGTTTAGGTGCTGATAGTGAATCCAGGACCCCACAATGTCAGAAATCTGTTCATCTTACAGTCTTGAAACACCTGCATGTGCTAAAGCTGTCTACTGTCTTTCTTGCAGATAGCATAGAAGCCAATGTAGAAAGCTCAGAAGTGCATGTGGAAAGAGCCACTGACCAATTACAGCAAGCTGCTTACTATCAGGTAAAAGCTGGTGTCCAACAAAGTCCCTCTGGGCTGCAGACTTCATGGGCCATCAGGGAACACTGAAAACAGGTTTAACTTCTTGCTTGGACTTAAGCTGGAGACAAGGAATCATAATTTACAGCCCTAGTTATACTTTTTAGTATTTCTCTTTGTAATGAGATCTACAAAACCATCAAATCTTGAATACACTTATGTAGAAGACTCAGCTGCAGGGCTGGGAAGGTGGCTCAGTGGTAGAGTGATTGCCTTGCATGCATGAGGCCTTGGGTTCGATTCCTCAGCACCACATAAGCAGAAAAAGCCAGAAGTGGTGCTGTGGCTCAAGTGGTAGAGTGCGAGCCTTGAGCAAAAAAGAAGTTCAGGGATGGTTCTCAGGCCCTGAGCTCAAGCCCTAGTACTGGCAAAAAAAAAAAAAAAAGTTGTATATCTTAGTATGGCTGGTATTTAGCGACATGAACCCTTGTTTCCATTAGGATAGTTTAGAAGTGCAGGTAATGTAGGGCTCCAGATACTGTACGTTGAATATTGCCATAGGGAATGGCCATAGACTCAACTATGATGGCCATTCATATGTAAATAAATAGTGCATAGTCAGTATGGGACTGTGCCTATAAAGTTAAATTCCTCTAGATATTAGTTAAAATTCTTGCTTATGATTTTGAACTTAGTACCTGGGCACGGTCCCTGTGCTTCTTTTGCTCAAGGCCAGCACTCTACCACTTGAGCCACAAGTACCACTTCTGGCTTTTTCTATGTATGGGTATTGAGGAATCGAACCCAGGGCTTCATGTATGCAAGGCAAGTATTCTACCACTAAGCCACGTTCCCAGTCCTGCTTTTGATTTTTTTTTTTTTAGGTCTTTATCTCAGATACTGTGAATGAGGTCCTCAATTTAGTGTTGCATGGTTTCTTAGAAGTAAATAGCATTTTGGTCATTTTTCCATGTCCTAAAGATATCAGTTATTTTCTGTATTCCTACAGTAGCCAAAATTTATCTGGAAAATGCTCTTATGGAAGTTTGTGTTTAATAATAGTATTTCCTGGGCTGGGAAGGTGGCTCAGTGGTAGAGCGCTTGCCTTGCATGCATGAGGCCCTGGGTTTGATTCCTCGGCATCACATAAGCACAAAAAGCTGGAAGTGGCGCTGTGGCTCAAGTGGTAGAGCGCTAGCCTTGAGCTGAAGAGCTGAGGGACAGCACCCAGGCCCAGAGTTCAGGCC